TGAATTATATCTTAACATGGTTAATTAAATTACACTAGCTTACCCTTATTTTCCTGTCTTGTCATGTTGTTCGTTCGGTCGTATGTGTCCTTGCAATGATCACCTTGTGGGTGTGAACAGAGTGTGGAGAGTCTTTCTCTGGAGCAGGTGCTGAGTGAGGAGTCTTCAACCCCTTAGGCTAGGACCGTTCGGTTGATACAGCTCTTGTATAACCGATCAGTCTGTTTTTATGGTTTGTATCAATGTAGGTGTCAGAACCCATTAAAAACACACCCAAAAACCCCAAGTAGTGGGATCCATGTGCCAAAAGGAGAGTGAGTGTCTCAATTAGTGGAAAACAGATGGCTATAGGAGAGTGGTCGTTCGTTTTGGGTGACGGCAGTATTTAAGGCCAAATTTCAAATAACGTGCCACTTCTCTGCATGTCTTTCTTCTTCTCCAAACTGCTGAAGCTCTTCTCTCCTCTTTCTCTCTAAAATCTCCTCCTTCTCTCTAAGAAAACCTCACCATTTCTTTCTTCGATCACCTCTCAAGCATCGTTGGAACACTCCCGGCGTCAAGAGCTTCCGTTTAAACCGATCGGTTTGTGATTCTGAGCTGGTGAGTTTTGTTAACTCTTTGGCAAGCGTACCAAATCATTTTAAGTAATAAACCATTAAGACCAGATATCGTATCCCAAGAAACTCGTATGACACTTTACGATAGTATAATTATGTAACTAATTTAGACTAAAGAATATTTCCACTTAATATGAATTTAGTGCAATGAAAATAAGCATCATATATAAGTGATAGATTGAACTTCTTGGAGTTAAAACACTTGAAAATTAATTGATTAAAGATGATACGAAATGGAATGAAGATGTTGGAGAATGATTTTTACCTACTACACTCTCATGCAAATGCACATTACTACTACTTCATTTAATTGCTCATGTCAACCTACTACATTACTCAAACCCAATCCCTTAGCAGAGAGAGCCTATACTCACTCATTAAATTTCAATCCCTTGGTAGCCTAAAAAGTTCATCTGCATTAAGAATAGTGGTTTAAGACAACTAAAGGGCCAAGCTCTATCCCTAAACACAATTTCCTTTAGGTGTTTATTTCAGTTCAAGGTTCACACAATACTTCCCAATATCAAGCAAACCTAAGAATCAGGTAATGGTTGATCAAGTCACAACAAGCTTTAAGAGAAGGAAATAAATACTCACAATAAATGAAAGAAGCTTATATTCATTAAACACAAGTGCATTTACAAGGAAGTTTCATAGTCAAATCATTCCCCAACAATATGAACTTAGCTCTCCATAGTCATGGAGAGTTTGAGCTTACAATGAAAGAAAATGGAAGAGATGGAGACCCAAGGAGGAAGAATGGAGAGTTCCCACTGCTCAAAACCAGCTCCCAGAGGTCCAAAAACGGTGTTTTGAGCTTTAGCCGCCAAGAAGATACCACCCAAATTGCACGGAAGCCTTAAATACGTCTAGGGTTCCAAGTCAGCAAAAGTCGCGCTCAGCCCCCTTCCTCTGGGGCGCCCAGGCGCAAGGTCTGCGCAGGAGTTGCGTGAAGAATGGCGCCCGACCCCCTATTTGAGGCGCCCAGGCGCGAGGTCTGCGTACTGCTTTATACATAAAAAAAGAAATCCTCTTCATATTTTGAATCTTTATTTTTTTCGTCTTATATTTTTTTGTTTATTGTTATCTTTGTCTTCCCCGTGAACTTCTTTAACGAATTATTTGTTGATAGAGATCACCTCTGAAAGAAAATAAACAAAGCCGTGTGAAGATCATTAGGTTATTTAATTAATATTATATTATTTTTTTAATTTTTTATATCTTGAAAGATAACATTTTTAGAGCTTTCATTCTTATATTTATCATCAATGTATGATATGCAATAAAATGGATATCAATAAAAATATAATAATATCGAGTTTGTATATTTTCGCTATCTCAATTATTTGTGTTTGAGTATGTTTTTGGTATTTAAGTGAAATGAATTATTAACTTTTAAATTTTTTTCTTGTTTAAGTGATTATATGGTTGTTTAAGTGTTACAACTAACATTTTAGCAAAATTCACATGTTGGAATATAGTATCTAACAAATTTCAAAAAGTTCCTTCATTATTTCTGTTTTAAGATGTTTGACACTTGAGAGTGCTTAGGTTACGTGCTACATAGCTTAACACTACGTGCTCTTATCGAATTTGGATAGAGTGTCTATGAGATAGAATATAAGGCTCTCAGAGTCAATCTGTAAAAAGCTGAGTTCTTACCTTTTGATGTGGAAACTTTTAATTTAAAAATAAAAATAAAAAGAAGATTCATGTGTTGAAGACTTTCTAAAACTTAAGTAAATAAAAGTTGAAGGGAATTGTAGAATGCAGAAATATAATAGTCAATAAGAGGATTGAGTGTTCCTGTCATGGTGTGTTGTATTTCTATAATTTTTACCTTTATATAAACAAATTATATTAGGTGTGATAAAAATGACCATTTCTGAAATTAATGGACATAAAAAAGTGCACTTTCATGCATGATATTTCACTATAAACTTTCACTGATACTTTGACAGCATTTTTTTGACAACATTTTAACACTTATCTTCGTATCATTTTGTGATTGGTCCATATTAGTATTTATGATTATTATTATTGATTGTGGAGTAATTTTGGACCAATCACATAATAACATGTAAATTATGTTAAAATGTAATTAAAAAAATGATGTCAAAGTATCAATTTTTATTATAGGTAATTGTTGTGACAAATGTTAAATATTAAAAATAACATACGTCAAAACTTTTTTTAGTATTGTATTATATCTTATATTATATATTTAAGTTATTTAAGTAACAACCATATTTTTAAGCATATATTTCACTTGAAATATTTTGAGAAATACTCCAAGTATCTCGATATCGAATGTATTGGACTGATAACTTTAGTAGCTTGGATCATGTAAATACACTATGTTGAAGCATTTAGAATTAACCATTGAGTCATAAATAATATCATTTCAGCCTCTAACATACTTCAATAATGTAATTTTATATAAAAAATAATAATCTTGATTCTCTCTTTCTGATATTGTAAGCCCCAACTTGAATGACGTCAGATAATTGATAATTTATATTTTTCAGGTTCAACGTTAATTAAACTAATGTATATAGTATCACAATAATCCATATTACAACTCACCATCTTAACATACCATCAAACTCATATAATCCATATGACTAAACAATTACTATTTATAAAGGATGTATTATTATGCTTACCAAAATCAAATTCCAATCGGTCCAACTCGATCTATTCTTCATTGAATTCATCTCATTAGTATGACAAGGAAACTACTACTAGAAACTTTGTGAAAAAAAAAAATAAAGATAAAAAACTTTTTTGATAACCAAAATTTTTCAAATAAAATAAAAAAGAAGAAAAAACATTTAACTTAAATTTATAAACTTTAATTTTTATTCACTTCAAAATATATTATTGAAATACTGTGATTCTTTATTTAAGTTATATATCAATTTATTTTGCTTAAATGCAAAGGAAATCTTTCTGCAGAATTTAAATATTTAAAGCCTTGTGTTTCAAACCTGCTTAAACTACTTTGTGTATTCCATAGAACTATTCTATCTTCTTTTAGCCAAAGAGCAACCAATAAACTTTATTTCTATCTATAATTTGTTCGAATTGTACTATTATAAGAATTCACATTTACATTCTATTTTAATCTCCGTATACTCGTGGTTTTCTTAATTTTCATATGTTTACTTAAATCTCTTTGTCCTTTTTCAATCTTTTCTATTCTTATTTGTTTATTATATTTTATCTTTTAATTATGATTTTTTTTTCTTTAATATTTTGTTTTTTGTTATCATTACCTTTTTAAATTCAGCTCTAAATCTTTCTCAATTCACATTTTAAAAAAATAGCCTGTTTGGTTATTTAATTTTTTTATTAGGATTAAGAGAATATTAAACAAAAGAAAAAAGAGGTCAGATGGAACAATAATTTACTGCTAGAACATAACAAAAGCTTATAATAATTTACCAACTTAATTTCTACTTATATTTCCCATATTGTAACCTAAATTTAATATATTTTAACCTGACTTTTAAATATATTTAATTACAAAGTAAAAGTAACAAAAATGTTTTAGTGTAACGTGCAATACACACTATTAAAGGATATTTTGAAGTTGACGGGTAAATGAAACATATGAAGTATGAATAAAGTAAAACAATTTATTAAATAAAAGTGTATTAACAAGTTGAATATATTTGAAAAATAAAAAAAATAATAAGTTATATATCATATTTGTAGTATTTAATTATATGTGGTTCTAATAAATTTTAAATTTTTATTGGGTTTTATTTTTTTTTCACAAATTCCACGTTTATATCATTCCATAATTTTGATGTTAAAATGAGTTGATGGATCACTGTTGTTAATTACCTTTGATGTGCAATATCTATGATAAAGTGTTTTTTATATGTTAATCCAATATAGATATTTTTTATATAAATATAAAATACACATCAGAAATGAACAAGATAAAACTTAGATAGATGATCTTTCAATTAGACTTGAGAAATTCTCTTTAATAATATACTTATAAATAATTTTATAAAATGTCATTTAATTGAAACAGTAAATAATACTTGTTTAAGAGCGTTTCTAATTAAATTATTAAGTATGCATAATTCAAAGTTTATTAATACAGTAAAAGCGGGAAAAAAGATAAAGATTCTGAGAGTGAAGTTACTGCTAATTAATTTGTTGACTAATTTCTTGTTGATAATTATAATACAATAGAAACCAATTTGATGAACAAAAAAGAACACACTGAAAACCAGAATAAGGATCCGCGGTACAGTGTGTCAGGTGGGTCAGCCAAGCACCACCGAACACACTAACCCTAATCTAATTTCTCACATTACCCTAGTTCTATTTCAATGGAGTCATCTCATTGGGCCACTAGGTGGACCCTCACCATAACTATCCTGCACTGAATCTCACTCTATATAAACTAAGTTCATATTTTAAAGCATTTCAATTCGATTTCATGTTTATTTGAGTTATTTCTTCACCCTCAGCATCCCCTGCCTAGCCTTGCCTCCCTCTAAGAACCTCACGCAGCATTAAAGAGAGACACAAATCAAGCTACAACTGGAGTTTGTCGGTTTTGCTTTTTCTTGAAGAAAAGGAAAAAATAAAAACGAAAAAGTTCCTTTCTGTGGTATCTATCTTTGTTTCTTCTGGGAATCTAATTCCTCAGAGTGGTATTAGAAACAAATATATTTTGAAAAAGGAACTCGGATACTCAATTGGCGAGTTGATGAAATGTGCAAGAGGGGTCTGAAGAAGTTCGCTTGCTTTATGATGAATTGAATTGGGTTTGAGTTTGGAGTTGAATTGAATTTGTTGAGTTTGGAATTGGAGCATGTGAGTTGGAATTAGGAGTGGGAAAGGGTAAGAGGATGGCTGGGGATGGGAGTGTCGTCCCTGCAGACCCAGGGGCAATGACAGTTGTAAAGAAGAAGACACAGTCTTCAAGGAGTTGGATTCTGATTGATGCTTCTGGACATGGTTCATTGCTCGACGTGGACAAATATGCAATCATGAATCGGGTTCAGATTCATGCGCGTGATCTCAGAATCCTTGATCCCTTGCTCTCTTATCCCTCCACCATTCTCGGTCGTGAGAAGGCTATTGTTCTTAACTTGGAGGTCCACCACATGTTTGGTTTTGTTTGTTTGTGTTTCTTGTGTTAACCTTTTCCTTTCTGTTTTTTCATTTTGTTTTTTCTCTTCTGATTCTGCCTTTCAGCATATCAAAGCAATTATCACAGCTGAAGAGGTTAGTCAGCTTTAATTCTCATGTGTCTGCTTTCATCTCTCAGGGGTCTGGATTAGAGAACAAATAAGAACATTATGCAGATTACTTTTAGGGAACCAGCTTTGACTTTTTATTTTAGGCTACTTATAATTGAAAACCTTAACTAATTGAGACATGAGGATTGGGGGATGGTAGATGAGCTTCTCTGAGCATTTTATCCTACTCTTTCATTTACTGGACAGACTAATCTAGAATGGATCAAATTTTGGCGACCAACTTTTGTTTTTGTTGTCAAGGTCATTGAATAAAATGGGTAGGAATAGGAAGAGATGTCTTCTTTTGCCTTGCTTAACTAGTGACAGGATCTTGACCCTCTTGTACAAGAATATACCTTACATATCTTTTGTGCAAGAATATACCTACAAGAATATCTCTCAGTAAAGGAAATTTTATATTTATCAATTTCTGTATCAAACATTTGGTCCTTTGTATAATACATAACTGTTTCTTGAAATTGAGATGACATTGCTTCCACTTCCTGAATTCCCAATTGTATCTAAATTATTGTATAGGTATTGCTGAGAGATCCAACAGATGAAAATGTAATCCCGGTTGTCGAGGAACTGCAGAGGCGGTTGCCTCGATTAAGTGCCGGTCTTCAACAGCAAGGAGATAGTAAAGAGTATCTTGGAGGCCAAAATGACGCTGAAGCAGCTGAAGAAGATGGTATGTTATATCAATGGTGAACCATAAGTAATGAATAAACTTAATGATTGCATCTCTTATTCTTATAAATATGTTTATTTATTTGCATCATCCATTGTCCTCGATATCTGAGTGATCTAAATTATGCAATGTAGAGTCACCCTTTGAATTTCGGGCACTGGAGGTTGCTTTAGAAGCCATTTGTAGTTTTCTTGCTGCACGTACAACAGAGTTGGAGATGGCTGCTTATCCTGCATTAGATGAACTTACCTCCAAGGTACATATATTATAGAATTGTTTATCTTCCTGTTATGGTTTTAATCTGGGATCCTTTGCCCATACCCTTTCTTAGGTATAAAATAAGCTTAACAAAATATGAAACTGCTTGAAAGTGGCTGAGGAAAATTTATTTTCTTCATCTCAATATATTATAATTTCCTTTTGTTATACTTATCATCTCCAAGGTGTTCATTCTAATTATGCCTGCATTATTAAAGAAGTATTTTGTTGTCTGGCTTGAAGCGTGGATGACTATAGTTCCCCTTCTCCCTTTTATTTCTTGACTTTTTTGGTTTAATGAACTTTAGATTAATGTAATCTGCAGATTAGTAGTCGTAATTTGGACAGAGTTCGTAAACTGAAGAGTGCAATGACAAGGCTGACTGCTAGAGTCCAAAAGGTATGCCAAGTTTTCATATGAAAAATGCCTATTTTCTTTTATGAAAATATATTCCGTAGCCCCTTCCCCTCATTGCTGCTGATATTTTGCATTCTTTTAAGTAAATTATTGTATTTTTCTTAAATATAATTAGTTTAATGTGACTGTAAACTGGCTTGATCAGTTTTAAGTAGAAAACAACACATATCCCTTTTCTTCTTCCATCCCCAGTTTTTGTTATTTGGTACAGGTCAGAGACGAGCTTGAACAATTGCTGGATGATGATGATGATATGGCTGACCTATACCTGTCAAGAAAAGGGGGTTCATCATCACCAGTCAGTGGATCAGGTGCTGCAAATTGGTTTGCTGCCTCCCCTACCATTGGATCAAAGATATCTAGAGCCAGTAGAGCAAGTCTAGCAACAGTTCGTTTAAATGAAAATGATGTGGAAGAGCTGGAAATGTTACTAGAGGTTATGTTACTTCCTTTAAAAATAGTTGGAAGAAGTTCCATTATGTTAATGAGGAAAAATTGCTATTAATGGTGTTTATTCAATTTGCAGGCTTATTTTAGTGAAATAGATCACACTTTGAACAAATTAACCACGGTAAGTGTCATGATTGTGCATGTGTAAACATGTGTAACAGGGAGCAGTGAATCTTAATTTTTTTTATATGACAGAAGATATAAAGTAATCTTGGAAGATTGTTTCTTTGTAAATACAGAGAAAAGTTTGTTTCTCATTGATCTGTTTAGTATTCCAATCATTAGACCGTGAACCCAAGGCCTGGCCCATTGGGTAGAGATTTTTAGTTCGGACTACTAATCATGTTAGAGTTTGACCAAATTGATACTCTTACACTTTAGGAAATTAAGGGTTAACAAAGGGGATTTGCATTTTTTTTTTATCTGCTGCTGTTTTCAAGTAGAACTTCGTGGTTTATATTCAAAATCTTGTTTCGGAAGTATTTTGTACAATTTTTTTAAAACTCTTCACATTAGCTTTGTGAGATGATATACTATTTGTTCGATCTTCTTGTCCGAGAATGAGTGATTTATGCTGTTTTTTCTTTTGGATCAAATAGATCATACTTGGATCTTTGCTGTACCACTTTTGCCTCTGTCATTAAATATTATTATACCTGTGATTCTATCTCTAATTTATGTTGTCAAGTTTGCTGAAAATTTATTTGTAGTGGAACGTGTTAAGAGACTATTGGCCCATTACATCAGGCTATTCTAGAAAGCGATTGAAAACTAGTTCACTGTTTTGATTTTTGTTTGGTTTCTTTAAAAGTCTGTGCTATTTGCTTGTATAGGATTACTTCAACTCTGAATCTGCTGTTCAAGATACTTTTACCTAATTATTTACCTTTTTCTTTTCATTTAAAGCTGCGAGAGTACATTGATGATACTGAAGATTATATTAATATTCAAGTAAGTAGCTAGCAAGTTATTGAAAATATGGCATCTGTTTAATGACATGAAGTTTATGTTAAGTTTTTCCATTTTGCAGCTTGACAACCATCGTAATCAGCTGATTCAGGTGGCATTCATATTTCTGCACCTTGAATGTCATTTATCAGTATTTTATGTCTTTTTTCTTTCTCATGAGTTTGCTAACTGGTCTTCAATTCTTGTGCAGCTAGAGCTCTTTCTTAGCTCTGGAACTGTTTGTCTATCTTTCTACGCTTTGGTAACCGCTATATTTGGCATGAATATCCCATATACTTGGAACGAAGACCATGGTTACATGTTCAAATGGGTATGCAAATTGTTACTGTTTATGAATGTGTGTATATAATATATATGGCATATGCCAACGTGCAGCTATTTATTTTTTAGAAGCAAGTTTTAATCAAGATTAAATCAAAGGTGTAACTTGCTAATACATTCTTTCTTAAACAACAAGTAGGTATACTTTGGTAAATACTTGTGTGGAGTTTATCATAGGATATGTACTTTTTAAAAAGTGTGTGTATATATATATATATATATATATGCAAAATTTTGGACTTGATAATTTGAATGTTTCTTCTTGCAGGTAGTTATTACCGCAGGAGTATTTTGTGCTTTGACGCTTGTCACGATTACTGCTTATGCTCGCAAAAAGGGATTAATTGGATCTTGAAAATAATTGACTGGAAAGCAGTGCCGAATGAACTTTGACTTACGCATATAATAGACTAATGAATTATGTTGTCAACATTTTATTAGATGTAGTTCAACTTGTGGTTCAGTACCAACAACCCGTTAAAGGATCTGGGCCCTAAGTTGATGTGAAAATTGAGGGATTTTGGATCAACTACATTCCCTGAGTTCTCTGGATTCAGTCATCGTTATAATAGACTGTAAATACACTCTGCAGAATCAAAGTTGATTCTTCCTTTTCAATAATACTATAGTGTGAACAAGATGTGTCATCAAATCAAATGTTTTGTGAATTCCAATGCCTAGGTTCAACACAGAAAGCAGGTCAAAAGAAAAAATTGTAATGTTAATACATTCTCATGTTTTTTTTTTATAATGTCAAATGTAGTTATTAAGATTATATTATACAAAGTAGCATAATTTTATATAGCTTTATATATAATGGATTATATAATTATGAAATTTATTTTCTTAAAATGACTGTTATCTCATAAACATAACAGATTGCTGGTGTTAGCATAAATGATAATATACCTGGACCTACTTGAAACAAAAAAAAATAGATATAATGTTTCCGATAATTGGTTATTAGAAAGTTAGTTCTCTCAACTAAAATGACTTTTTTATATATAAGTTTCATATTTTAATAATAAAATATTCAAGTTCAATTTAAAAAAAACTCAATTTTAGTCTGAACTATCTTCTACTCTTTATCTTTATCATCTTCTCTTGTTAATAACAATTGATTTTTTTTAATTTTTTATTTTAAAAAAATTATTATTATCTCTCTACTTCA